GAAGGTGTGATCCTCGTAAAAAGAGCCTACCTGTGTGCACAAGTGGAAGCAATGGGAAGAAGCGTCTCATAAAGACATCACAAGCCATTAACTATGACCTTGCTATGTCAGAACTGACTTGGGTGCTAAAGATTCTGCTTTTAAATTAAAAACGCTAATCCTGCTGCAACCTAAGAGAATTCTTAATTTGTCACCCTTAACAGGTCAAGGATATAATACAGAGAATACCTGTAACAAGAATGCTTGAAACCAAACAGTTTCACTTCCACAATATTCCTGGTCGGTTAATACTGGCACTCCCCTTTAAGGCTAAGATTAAAAGGACACTGTGTTTTCTCGCACACTTTGCACATCTTCTTCATGGAATTTGTCAAGCCAAGACACGACCTTCACACTGATAAACTGCATGATCTATTGATAACGTACTAATAAATAGTTAAATTAATCCCAGTAAGAATACTGGTTTTTACGGCACAAAGCCAACCTTTGACTGACTAAGCCTAAGAATTTCTCTAAAAATAAGGTAGCTGCCATATTCACACCAGCTCATTCCCGTCAGTACAGGAAATACCTGAAATACTGGCTTTATCTTGGACCTATGTAATTTCTGACAAAATGGGTTGGAAAGGAAAACTGAGGGTTCTAATAAATCATATCTGGGACAAAGCAGCTCACCTCATGTCCCACACTTCCCTCAAAGGGTCTCCACTCATGTCAAAGATTTTAAGTCCCTAAAGACAGGTTCCCTTCTGGTGGCAAGGGAAAGGGGGAAGGAGCTGGTTCTGCAGGATCAGGTAAGCCTGCCTTCAGGGGCCCACGGCGAAATCAGGCCAATGCGGCTCCTTTTCTTCGCTCTGGGTCTCAGGTAAAATGAAGCTTCCCAGAGCTGCTCACATGTTCAGCAAAGTACCTCCACCTACTCAAATCTTAAACATAGAAACAAGGGCCTACAGAACGGTATTTTAATTTGTCAGAACCAAAGCCCTGCTCGACTGAGTAAGGCAGTTCCAGCAGCACCAAGTGCATGAAAAAGAACGGTGCAAACCTACTAAACAATAGACGACACTGCTTTAGTTGGCTCCAAGAAACGAAAAATCAGGAGAACAGCACCACCCCGTGGCCTAATGAAAATTGCATGTGAGGAACAATAAGTCTGGGTTTCAAACCCTTTCCCTCCTCAGTTAGACCTCCTGCTGAGAACTTGCCTGGCCTAGCAATATTTTGAGCTGTTAGCCAAAAAGCGGGAGAATCAAACCAATTGCCACTTCGAGAGAGAAAAATGGGGATGTTTTCTCCTGTAAAAGATTTACAACCTCAGAAATTTTATGGAGGCTCATCACGTGCCAGAAGCAACAACAGATGGTTTCTAGATCTCCAGGTGATTTGTATAAATCTCCAAATGATTCTGAGATAGGCATCAGAATCCTGTTAAAAAGTAGATATGATAGGGTATCATGGTTATCACAGGAGTCCAGAATTAAGGTTGCATAGTGGAGTCTACTTGGGGCAGTGGGAGGGGTGGGAGTGGGGGATTGTATATCAAAGAAAGAATTTTTCTTTTACTTTTCAAAAAGAGGAGCGAAGGGTGTGGGGAGGGACTGGGAGAAAAGTGCCACAATGAATGAATGGAAATCCAAAATCTCTGCAAGTGTTCATTAAAATTGTTGTTGTTATGTGCCATTGAGTCACTTGCGACTCATAACAACCCTATGTACAACAGCCCTAAACTTAATAAAATAATTTTTTTTTAAAAAAGTAGGTTCTGATTCAGTATATCTGGGGTTCCTGTTGACCTTAGTCGGAACCAACTCATAATCGACCCTCTGTCAGGTTTCCAGAGGCAGTAAATCCCATAAAAGGAGATTTCCCATTTTTCTCCTGTAGAGCAGTTGGTGGATTTGAACCATAGGCTGTTGGGTTGCCAGAACAACTGCACGTCCTCAACAGAGGGTGGAAATGGAATGACCCATTTTGAAACCCTGCTGGAGATTCCACTCTTAGGTGTCAAAAAGTAATTTCTAATCCCTGAAATCAAAGACCTAGTAAAATATCTCATCATAAGGGAAAATTGAAAACGGAATGTAAGTCTCCTCAGAGTTTAACAACTAAGCTTAGAGAAAATGCCATTTCGGTTTTTTAAGCTGACTCATTTAATCTTGCTAATGCAAAGCCTATACTTGGACCAAGAGGCAGTCGTCAGAACAGAGCAGGGTAACACTGCATGGTTCAAAATTGGGAAGGGTGGTACGCCAGGGATGTGTCCTATCTCCATACCTTTTCAACCTGTATGCAAGAGCAGATTATCCGAGAGGCTGGGCTCTTTGAGGAGAATTGTGGCGTCAGGATTGGTGGAAGATCTATTAACAATCTGCGTTATGCAGATGACACAACCCTGCTTGCTGAAACTGAGGAGGACCTCATGCACTTGCTGCAGAGGGTCAAGGACTGCAGCCTTCACTATGGACTGAGGCTCAATGTCAAGAAGACAGATTCTCACCACTGGACCAATTGGTAGCATCAGGATGGATGGCAAAGAGATTGAGATTGTTCACAGCTTCAGTTTGCTCGGCTCCACGGTCAACACTCTTGACACCAGCAGCCAGGAAATCAAAAACGTATTGCGATGGGAAAGTCTGCTGTTAGGGACCCCTCTAAAGTACTCAAGAGCGAAGGTGTCTCTCTGGAGACTAAGGTGCGCCTGATACAGTCCATGGTCTTCGCAATCACTTGCTATGCATCAGAGAGTTGGACAATGACTAGGGAGGATAGAAGGAGAATTGAAGCCTTTGAGCTGTGGTGCTGGAGAAGAGTATTGAATGTACCATGGACTGCCAAGAAAACAAACAGATTCATCCTGGAGAGGGTTAAATCAGGCAACTCCTTGGAGGCAAGGATTCTGGGGCTTTGTCTGACATACTTTGAACATGCTGTAAGGAGAGACAGGTCCTTGGAGAAGGACATCATGCTTGGTAGGGTGGAGGAACAACGCAGGAGGGGAAGACTCTCTATGAGGTGGATTGACTCAGTGACTGGGGTAATCGGGATGGGTGTGTCAGAGGCAATGCGATTGACACAGGATAGAGCAGGGTTTAGGGCTGTTGTACATAGGGTCGCAATGAGTCGCAAACGACTCTACGGCACATAACAACAACTACGTTTATGATTAAGGGGGCTGTGGAGACATAGGTTACACATCTGTCAGTTCTAATCCACCGCAGTTCTGAGCAATCTCCTTCCATGCAGTTGACAGCTTGAAAAATCCAACAGAAGGTCAGCTATGAGTCAGTGCAGACTCCATGTCAATGAGTTCTAATTCTGATTTTTTTTAACTTAGGATTGCCAGACAACCCTAAGTGGATTGTGTCATGCAGTATTTGAAACACAAACAAGGGGGGGGGGGAACACCAAAAACACAAAACACTGTAATAATGCAACAAAACTGTGCCAGGCTGCTAACCAAAAGGTCAGTGGTTCAAATCCACTAACCATTTCCTGAGAGAAAGATCTGCAGTCTGCTCCATAAAGATGTACAACCTCCGAAAGGCGACAGAGGTCTGCCATGTGTGGGAATCAACTCAGTGATAATGGGTTGGGGTTTTTGTTTACCCAAAATGAAATGTGGCTGGGTTTCTTCTCTTTTCATTTGTTAAAACTGACACTTTGCAGCTCTTATAATCTGCACAACCTCTGTCGCAATGTTGGCAACTGGCAGACTTACATAACCAAAACTTTCAGTTCAAAGTGGCAGCAACACATTATCGTCAAGTAAACCATCTGATTCATTCTGCAGTAGTGCCCTAGCAACTGGCAGAGAAGACACTCCGCTCCAAGATGAAAAAGACTGAAAAGTGGAAAAGCAGAGTACGAGCCAGGGTCCACATGGCTTATAAAATGAGAACACTGAGTATCTGATGGAGTCTCTGATTGGCATAAGCAGTTAACAGGCCCAGTTACTAAACAAAAAGGTAGGAAGTTCAAGTCTATCCAAAGATGTCTTGAGAGAATGGGCTGGGGATCTACTTCTGAAAGCTCACTCCTTCCACACCCTACAAGAGCACAGTTGTACTCTGACACAGAGTCACCATGCAGACTCGACCAGACAACAACTGGCTTAAATATCAAATGGAGGAGGAATAGAAAACAGAGGAGATTCTAGGAGGAAAGCTTAGCTTTTGACTGGGGGCATCATGCTTGGAAAGGTGGAAGGTCAGCATAAGAAAACTTCAAGGAGATTGATTAAAAATAGGACTGTGGCCACCAAGCTCACTGTGTCAGAGATGATAAGGATGGGACAGTGTCGCCCCATTGTTCATAGGGTCAATATGAGTCAGACTCAACCCAAAGGCACTTACCAACAACAGCAGCTTTTTGACAGTTTAACCTATTTAAAGGCACTCCTGCCAGCCTGAAGGCACTGTTGCTATTATTTTCCTCTATATGACAAGAGCTTAAAGGTCAGAAAAGGTTTTGTCAAGTCAGTCACACTACCTCCCACCAGCTGCCCAGAGGCAAACCAGAATCACTTGACTAGAGTTACTTGTTCTTTTATTATTTTAATAGAATTTTATTTTAATTGTGATTTTAATGAGCATTTGCAGAGAAGTTAGATTTTCATTCATTCACTGTTGCATATTTTGCCCCCTGATTCATTCTGTTCCCCTTCTCCTCCCCCAGTTCACTTGTGTTTTGTTGGTTGTTGTTTTTTTAATATTCATTTACTGTTGCACAGTAATCTACCCACCCCCAAATCCTCTTTGCAATGATATACCTCTTATTTTGGGCTATTGTTGTACATATAATGCCTATTCATGCATTCATTTTGGACAGTTATTTTATCTGTTCTAATGCAATGGTCATGATCTATCCATTCTTATCCAATTGCTCCTTTCCTTAAGGATAGGCTTGTTACAAAGGCTCTGTGCTTGAATTTTTTTTAAATGACGAAGCCTTTCAAGGCACTAGTGGCGTGGCTTTCTCGGCCTACCCGGGGGCCCACGCACCTTTGCAGTGCACGGCGATGGCACCATCCGTGTTCTCGCAGATGTTCAGGAAGCGCCGCACGATGTTATCACTGGGTGTGCTGCCGTCTATGAAGAACAGGTCGTAGTGCTCAAAGCCAGCATCTGTGAAGCGCTTTGCCTCATAAATCTTTTTATTCAGCCTCACGATTGCAGTCACGTTATGCTTTTTGAAATAAGGAAAGTAGGCTTCCGGGGCATGAAGGGGGTAACCTACAAGGGACGGGGAAAAAAACCAAACAATAGACTAAATGCATGAATTTCATCTTCTAAAACCCAGACACAAAAATACCCTTAAGGATAAGGTTTCTGTATCTCAACAGGGCTTAGGAGAAAAGCACTTTTGTGAGGGAGGAAAAAGACACAGTACACTTCTAAAAACAAATACCTGAAAAGAAATTCAAAAAACAAACAAACAAACAAAAAAAAACCCCAACACAGTAAACATCAGTTTTTCACTCTAAGTATCAGAAGTCACTAAAACTCAAATTTTCAAACTCAAGAGTCAAATCCTGGGAGTGTAACCTCACCACACACACACTTCTAAGTCAAACAGGCAAAACCCCACTGTCATTTGGGTTTGTGACACACAGACACGCTCTAGGGCAGAAAAGAATCGCCCCGGGGAGTTTCTGAAGCTGTAAATCTTCACTGAAGAAGGCTGTCACATCTTTCCTCTTCAGAGCCCAGGTTTGGTGGGTTCAAACCAGTTTGCAGCCAAATGATTTACTACTGCACCACCAATACTACTTCTTCCAAATAATGATGGTTTTAAAACTGTGGTAAAACTATGTAACAAAACATGTGCCATGTCCACAGTTTTCACCATGCTGTGCAACGATGATCATGATCCATTTCCAGGTTTTTTCAATCACCCCAAACAAAAACTCTGTCTCCTAAATGGTGAGCTTCCCTCTCCGCTCCCTGGTATCCACAGTGTTTTCAGATCTGTACACAATTTCCAGTTCTAGATATTTCATTCACACAGTTTGTCCTTTGTGACGGTACATGTCTCTCAGCCTTCCCACATCCCTTACATGTTGCCACATGTATGGGGCTTCAGTTCTCTTTACGGCACAGCAAACAATATCCATATAAATGTTACCACTAGATTGTATGTGTTCATTCATATATTGTCAGGCATTCAGGTTGCTTCTATCCCTCAAACAAAGGCATTCTTGAAGAACTCAAACATGCAGAGGACTAAAATAAGTCTACGGCATTTTGCTCCCACTTAAGCATTATTCTCCATTTGACAAAAAAAAATTCAACTACAATTAAAACCTTTCTACCAAATATATAGTTTCAGTCTGAAGTAAAATCCCCTCACAAAGAATATTCATGATTATTAAGTATGATTTATAAACTAATCTGAGACTCTTGGGTTGCTGTGTACCATCAAGTCAGAAACAACCCATAGTTGACCTTCCAGTGAGTTTTCAGAGGCTGTAAATCACAAAGGAGGAGAATGCCTGTCTTTCTCTTACAAAGCAGCTGGTGGATTTGAACCACTTACCTTGGAAATGGCAGCACAACTCCTTACCACTAGGCCACCACAGCTCCTATCAGAGACCCCAGGCCGCACAAATGATTTCGTGCTCAGCCACTAACTGTAAAGCTGAAGGTTTACATCCATACAGAGGTACCTCAGAAGAAAGGCCTGGTGATCTATTTCTAAAAAAACTAACACCCGAAACCCTGTGGAGCACAGTTCTACTCTGACATCCTCCCCACCGAGTCAGTATCAATGCGAAAACTAGTCTTCAGGCTAGTCACAATTATAATTTCTCTGAGTCCTTAAACTGCTTAAATCCTTAAACTGCTTAAATTCAAATTGGCTTTAAAATAAAAATAAACTCGCTGACCTTAAGTCGGTTTTGACTCATAGCAATCTTCCACCAGTTTCTGAAGTGGGAATCTTAACAAGAGATGGCTTCCCATCGTTCCCCAGCAGAGTCACTAGAAGATTCAAACCTCCGGGGACATGTGGCTGTTTGGTTAGCAGCACAACACACTGCAGATACACCACCTCATCTATCCTTCTGGCTCGTATTCTACACTGTGAATATTTACATTTTTCCACTGGACAGAAAACAAGCTAATTTCCTGTACTGTATAGACAAAGTCATGTTAATAAGCAGCTTCAGGAAGTCCAAAGGAGTTGAGCTGCTGACCAAGAGGGAGCACATCTCTGGCAGTTCCAATCCACCAGTGGCTCCATAGAAGAAAGACGCGTCACCTCCTCCCTTGGAAAATTAACAGCGTCTCTAAGCCGGTTCTGACCAGATGGCAATGAGAGAGAGGTAGGTGGTGGTGTAGGTAGAGTTGCCTGCAGATCAAAGCGACTCTGAGAACAACAGATCGGAACCTTGTGCCATATTCTCCATCTCCACCAGGTTAATCACTGTGCCAGCCCATCCCCATCCGCACTGCTAGTCTTCCCCCTTTCACCGCCTTCTACCTTTCCCAGCACAATGGCAAAGTGGAAAGTCCCATGCTTAGTGCACACTGCCATCTTGTGGGGGCTCGTTTAACTGCATAAATCTAGAAAAAAAATTGGCCAACTGCAATCAAACCTAGCACCAGGGACACTACTTGCTTTATTTTAAAAATATCTTTATTACCTAAAAATAATTTTTTACATTTCGTTTAAAAATGCCTTCCACTACTAAAAACACGTAGGTTCAACAACAAACTAAAAAGTAGGAAATAATTCAATCTTGAAAGGATCTTGAAACTGATTAAGAAACTGAAAAAGTTATGTTTTGGTGAGTTATTTTTTTGGAAGAATTGGTGCTTTGCCTCTAAACCTCATTCTATTGGAAAGGATCCACTATCGTGTAAATACGACTGAACTACAGATTTACAGGGATTACAGACACGTAACCTAGACTGTCCAATCAGCCCAGGCTCCAAAGAGAATTGGTTTCTCAGGACAATGATTACCAAAACTGAAAACCATTCAAGGTGTCCTGCCTCACTGAAAAAGAGGGAATTTGCTATTGTTCAAAATTCATGCACAGTAACAGCAAAGTTGACCAGGAAGCTCCGTGCTGCATCTCTGGGTTTATTTTCTACTCCTATCCTGCTTTCCTGGTTCTTTCCACTATTAGCTCCAACTCCCAGTCTCTGTGATGCTGGAATCTGTAGATAACATTTCCCAGGCTACGTTCCCAACAGGCTTCCTGTCAGTGCTAAAAATGGAGGCCCTTCCAGCAGCTGAAGTCCACAGGAGAGATGGGCCTTCTCCTAGTTCCCAGGCCAGCATCACCCCAGCAGCCAGGAAGGAACGGCCCAGCCTTTCCAGTTTAGTTCAGCAGGCCCAGTCCCAAACATAATTGGTAATTAGTTTAACTAAAACAAATTATTTAGACTTACTAAATTATGAATGTATCACCAGGTGAGCTCACTCCAGAGGCTGGAGCACAGCCTCCTAATCCCCACTTTCTAACCCCCAAATCCAAGTCCAGGCTGTGTGGCCTTTCCAAAGACCCAAACCAGCCCCCTCTGGCTTCTGCTCAGAGTCCCAGGTTCTGGTAATCCTACTCACTTCTCTCTTGTTTGCCAATCTTAAAGGCAGTATCCATATTGACACATAGTGCTCTTTCTAGTTTTGATAAATCTTTCTTTATGACAAATGATATTGCATTCCCTGTGTTCTAATATGTGGCTGGTTTCTGTTTACTTGCCTGAACCCTGGTGATACTGCTTCTCCCTCCAATCCTAAAACAAACCTAACACTCTAAGCTGTGTCCAACTAACTTCCAATAAACTTGGATTTCATTTACAAGAGTTAGTTCTGCGGTCTGCAACCAAAAGCCCTAACTGATTTCCTTTGTCCAAGTCCATCCAGGGAACGGAAGCAGAACTGGAAGGCAGGCCTTAACCAGTTCACAGTCCAGATAGACATTCTTTTCACAGGCCATGCTGCTTTTGAGCGAACAAATATTTATATCCGATTTATAATCTTTTGCAAAGAAATAGTAACTGAAACACACACACTTAGACAAAATGAATGTTTTCCTACAAAGAAAAATTCAGTGTGTTTTCCTAGCTGGTTTATTTACTCTAACAACTTCCTGTTAACGGCGTACAGCCTAAAAGCAAAAAAAAGGACTATGGCTGGCATAAGAGCTTTCCTGTTTTGTGTGGCATGGGAGGAAGAAGGATCCACTGAGTTCCTACCATACTGTGCACCTCCGCCAGCACACCTATCACCACTACGCAAGTGGTTGCTTGTGTCTGTCTCTTCCCTTCACCCCAACTTGATAAGGACTTCTCTTCCCACATAAGAATTTCTTTCAGTAGGAAATGGCATATAATAGGTAATATATAGAACCTAGATTTTTTAAAAATTATGCTATTTTTGTGGAAAAAACATTGGGGGAAACTATCCAAATACAGCAAGAGGACATTGATGAGATAAGAATAATAATGGCAATAAAAGCAACTACCCTTTATTGAGTGCTTACTATGTGCCAGCCACTTGAATGAGGATGATGGCATTATACCTACATTTACAAGTGGTGTTGCTTGGAAAAGTTCACTGTCTCATGCATGCACAGTAGTGAGAACAAGCACCAAAACCCAACCCCAGGTTCCATCTTGTAACAGCCCTCCATTGGGTTTCCAAGGCTGTAAATGTTTATGAGAAGAGACTGCCCATCCTTCTTCGCAAGTTCTTGGTGGGTTTGCACTGCCTGGCAGTCAAATTCCAAGACTTAAATTGCCGCTGATTTCAGGCAAGCTCCAACTTAGATCTATGTTTTGGGCAATATGGGAACCTTGTGAGCAGATCAGTAAATGAGAGCTTCATGAATTCAATGAGTTCCCAAAAATCTCATATGTGCACACCCATGTTTATCGTGGCTTTGTTCACAATAGCAAGGAGTTGGAAACAACCTAAGTGCCCATCAACAAATGACAGATAGAGAAGTTCTGGTATATTCACACAATGGGATACTACGCTGCATTGAAAAACAAGGAACTCATGCAATATTATTCAATATGGTGACCCTGGGAGGACATTATGCTGAGTGAAATATCTCAGTCACAAAAGGACAAATACTGCTTGGTGCCACTGTTGTAAAACAGGATTGACCTCGGGGTTGGGGGGAGACCGAGAAAGATGGGTTCAATAATGTATACTGCATTGAAACAGATGAGGAGGAAAACTGTTTAAAAGGGATATGTGATTAGGTATTTTTGTCATG